GCTCCGGTTCCAATCCTGGAGCCGTTTTTGTTGCCGTTTCCGGTCGCCGTTTTTTTGCCGTTTCAATTTTCGAGGGGCACTTTGTCGGAAACGGTTTAAAAACGACCCTGCCGTTTCCGGGGCCCAGTAAGGGCGTGGGGCGTGGGTTCAGGCTCGGCGAGAACAAAGAAGTCGGAAGCTGGAGCATATAGACATTGCCAGTGGCGGGCGGCTTTTCAGTCCCAGGACTTTGTTGAGGGTCGGGGGCGCCGTCGGGGTGGTGTGGTGTATACGTTTGTTTCTCCGTTGACCCGGGAAAACAACGAAGAATGCATACACCAGGATCCCGTATACACCTGGATCCACTTTTTTGTGCAAGTTTCAGTGCAGGGCCGCAGAAATTATCGGTGTATAGAGTTCGGTTCCCCAAGAAGTCCTAACCCGAATAGCACGATGACGACGTGGCCTCACTTGGGCCCCCGTCTTCGCAGCAGGGGTACTAGATCTGGGCGGTTTGGTCCCATGCATCCGCAGAAAAGAAGGGCTTTTTTTATCCCTAATGGTCATGGCCCTCCTAACTTTGATCCCTTGCCAGAGGGTTAGGGGCCCTTTTATTGATTATCAGCGGAGCGTGCCCAAGAGGTTTCAGACCCTGGAGGATTATTCAATCGCTTCGCTCATTCCGCCGGCCAGTATTGTAGCATCGCTGGCACTTGCTTGCGTGCTTGGGGGGGCATTTTGGGGGCCTCCTGGGGCCGCTTGGGGGCCTCTTGGGGGCCTCCTGAGGGCCTCGTGTGGGCATCTTAGGGCCTCTTGGGGGCCTTTAGGAGCCTCTTGGGAGCCTTTCGGGAGCCTCTGGGGCGCTCCTGGGGGCCTCTGGGGGCCTCTTGGGAGCTTCTTGGAGGCGTCTTGGAGCTCCTTGGCGGCGTCTTGGGGGCCCCTGGAGCCTCTTGGGGAGCTCGCGAGGGCGAGAGGAAGGGTGATCGATTGCGGCTCCCCCCTCGGAAGCCACGATCCTCGTGAGGGGTGTCGAAAATTGCCCTCCCCTGGAGCGTTCTGGGGGACCTGGCAAGGGATCGGTCGGTTTTTTTTTCGTCCGGGGACCTCCAGGGGCCGCCTCGCGCGCGCGAAGACGAAGTTGTTAAACTGCAGTTGCCGGAGATCTTAGCACGCCTCTGGCCCGTTGGGCCTGCGAATTTGAGGGCGGCGGTGGTATCCATGGCTCAGCCTCGATTGGTGTTGCACCAGCTTCTTGACCCTAGGTTCTTGATCAAATTCCCTCACCGTGCCACTTACCCTATACTCGGCGGCGAGCGAGGGGGGGAAATGAGAAGGAGAAGCCTTCTCAGAAGGCGGCGGGACTTCTCAGAAGCCCTCGCGCCTTCTGAAAAAAGTTGTTTCTGTCTTCGGGGAAGGTTTAGAAGACTTCTCAGAGGGCCGGGGGACTTCCGAACCTGCTGAGAAGGCCTTCTCCTCCTCCTCCTCCTCCTTCTCCTCCTCCTCCTCCTCCTCCCCTTCTCCTCCCCTCCTCCTCCTCTCCTCCTCCTCCTCCTCCCTCCTCCTCCTCCTCCTCCTCCTCCTCCTCCTCCTCCTCGCTCGCCGCCGACATACCCATCTCCACCAGGCCATGGTATCTCAGCCCCACCATCCCACCACCCCAGTTGGGGACAGGCCCTGCGAAGCCCGCAGGGGACAGCCTTCAGGAGGGGAAAACACACACCGACATAATCAGTCGTCGATCCCCCCGGAATATAAGAAGATATGGGAAGTGGAGGGGAAGACTGAAATCCAAACAAACATTGGAAAAATTGGGGAATCTTGGGTGTGTATTTATTTGTCTGTCCCTGGGCCCCTTCAAGCCCACATCCCTATGGATAGGGAGGCAAATCGACCAGTGTGGCCCAGGCCACGCCAGTGAGTGGGGACATGGATTGGTTAAACAGTGCTCAGCACGACCATCACAACCTGGGGGGTGCAAGATGAGCTGTGGAGTCAGCTAGGGGTCTGAGGTGGCCCAGCACTGGTTGGGCGAGCAGGAAGGAAGGGGCGAGATTCGAGGTGCTGGGTTCGATCAGGTTTTTTATCTTTTCGGCCGCGGGGGACCGTTTTTGGGCCAGTCAAAAACGGATCTGGGGTGAGCAATTACACCAGATGGACCCAGGGATCAGTCCAGGGAGCGATTTTGTGATCGGATTTGCCTTCATGCTCACCCCTCTTGACCGACTTTGTCGGGACCCAACCCCCCAGCCGCCTTGAACCTGGGGAGGAGCAGGATGAGCTAATATGTTGGATGCAGGTGTGCATGATGTTCCGCGTGAGCGCCCGAAACGATATACCTTTAGATCCGGGCTTCGCACTTTTTTCACAACGGGCGTTTGCGCTCGGTATCGGGCCCTGGGATCTCACACGTCGATCCGGGGGTCATTTTTTGGTGGTAGGGGCCTAGGGCTCCTACCACCCTAGGGCCTAGGGCTCTGGTGGTAATTGTTCGCGATGTCGGAGTTGTTCACTGTTGGATCTCAGGGGGGGTGCAGGATAAGCTGATGTGCGGGATGGAGGTGTGCATATGTGATGAGCTGGTATGCGGGGTGAGCTGATATGCAGGATGCTGAGCGCCCGAAGCGAAATATTTGCACACAACCACCACCACCACCCCTAACCACCCTCTGCCTCCACCCTCCAGGTGGGTGTGGTGCGTGACCCCTTGCATGCCTCGTCGAGGGGGAGGGGGGTGGGCGGGACGGGCGGGTCTGGTCGAAGGAGCAGGGGCACAGCGAAACGGCGGGCATACGGGGCAGAATGGTGTCTTGGGGCCAGCGCAAGCCCATGGATCTGCGACGGCGTCCATAGACTTCGCATGAGTTCTCGCCTGCACTTTGCTGGGCCGGCCTGTGTCACTTCCCCGTGCCCTGCCAGTCTGTAGTTTCGGGCCTGCTGCGCTGTCCTCTGGAGATGCAGGCACCTCGCACGCTGGACATGCGAGCGGCTGACCGCTACAGTGGAAACCAATGCCAAGAGACACCCTGCTTGCCTCCAGGGTGCCCTGGGTTTCTTGGGTGTTGGTGGTTTTGCCATGGAAAGCGTGACGTTCCCACAAAAAATCAGTGGACGCCCTGGGGTCTCAGGGTTGGGTTCTTGTGGAAGGTTCCTTGTGGTCGAGCTCCTAGATGCAGTGACTGATGGTCCCGGCCTTGCCATGCGGGTGGCGGCAGCGCGCCCAAGTCAGGATAGCCTTGGACGGCGAGATCAGGCGCGGATTCTGCACAGGTGGGCGGGCGAGGACGCATGGGCAAGCTTGCGTTGCGGTCGCAAAGCATGGGAGCCTGGTATACCCTCTTCATTCCGTCTTTAGGCGTCGACCAGCGTCGATGAGCGTCGGGGAGCCGATTGGATGTGCCGATCCAGCGTCGATGAGCGAAGATCTAGCGTCGGCCAGCGTCGATTAGCGTCTTCCGGGCATCGATTTGGCGTCGATTTGGCTTCGACTAGCGCCGACTGCACTCCATCCTCCCCTTCACGTTCCTGCTGCTCTCCTCCGTCGTGTCACCGGAGCTCGGCGCGCTCTCTCGTCCGGGTCCGTCCTCCATCCTGCCCCCCCCTCTTCGGGTACTGGCGGCTTCCCAGCCTTGATTCCACTGCAGCCCCAAAAAACGCGATGCAGAAAGCGATCGTGTTGGGAACCCGGGCCAGCTTCCCAGAAGTCTCCTGAAAGAGGCCTGGGCCAAGTCCTGCTGTTTACGCAGGAGGGGCGAGCGTGCTCAAGAAGCCGGGCCCGTTCTCCGGCGAGCTGGTCGAGAAACGCTGGCCCAGCTTTTCGGGAGGAGGGTTCTCAATCAGATGCTCGACTGTAAGTGCTCCCCCACATGTCTGATCAAAGCAACTCGCCTGGGCATCGTTTCTGGATGGGCTGGTGGGGTTATTTTTTTTTATACGGCCGCAGGCGGAAGCGCCAGCGGCGGGCGGTCACGGTCGGGCTGCGGCCGCGACTAGGGGGCGGGCGCGCGCGGGGCCGCGGTCAGGGGCTGTTTTTTTTTTTTTTTGTTTTATACAGCCGCAGGCGGAAGCGCCAGCGGCGGGAGGTGCTGGTGGGGTTACGCGAAGCGTCTGGAATTGGTTTCTTCGAGCAAGGAAAGGCCAGAAGCCTCCTTGGATGCTTCTCGGAGTCTCTTCGGATGTCTTTTGAGAGCTTCTTCTGGGCATGTTTGGGGGAGTCTTGGGCGCCATCATGTCGGTTCCAGGGGCCTCTTGGAGCGGCCTGGGTCTTGGGTGCCTCGGAGGAGCCCCCTCGGGCCTCGTGAGGGTCTCTTGGGAGCCTCTTGGGGGGCATCGTGGGGGCATCTTGGGGGCCTCTTTGGGGCTCCGTGGCGCCCCTCGGGCCTTCTTGGTGCACTCTTGGGAGCCTCGAAGGCCATCTTGAGGCCATCTTGGAGATGATCGGTCAAAGGGGGAGGGGTTCCGAGTAGGCCCCCCCCCCAACCCAGGAGGCCAAAATTGGACCAACACCTTAGTAAAATCAGTGATTTGGGCCTTCTCGCCGAGGCCATCTTGAACGCTCTAACCCCCTGCGACCCCCTCCGTCCAGGTTCGGGAGGAGCAGGTATGGTGAGGGGTAAACCCCTCCCCGAAGGGGAAGAAGGGGGGTTGGAAGAAGAAGCTCCCTAGACCACTCACGCCCGAAAGGGCTGGTGGGACTGCATGCGCCTCAACTTTCGCAGGTGTGCGCGGATTTCTTGGATCTGCTCTGGACCCCCCCTTGGCGGCGCCTCGGGTGCCTCCTCCCCTGGCGCGCTTCGCGCGCCAAGGAGGGGGTTGCAGCGCCGATCCAAGAGATCCGCGCGGACCTCCGAGCATGTACGCTGAAGCAGCTGCGCCTGTTTGTTTCGCAGCGTGTCTTTTGCGCAGTCGTGCTCGGAAGGGCCGGCGCACCTGCCCTCGCGCCTTCCGGCGAGGGCAGGCGCGCGCGCGTCGCAGTCCAGTGGCCCCTCGCGGGGTTGGAGGGACTGCTGCCCAGTGCGCCGCAGGCTCAGTCAGCTGCCGACGAGAGCGGCGCCAGCGTCTTCAAGGGCTGCACGGCTACCTCGCAAGGACCGCGGAGGCGGGGTGCGCGATGCGCGCCGTTCTCTCCGCGAGCGTCCTGCTGCGCAGGGCGCTCTGGCGGGGGGCCTCGCTGCCGGCGGAGGCCGCAGAGAGGTCCGCAGAGGCCGGTGGAGTTTTCTCGTGGCCCCTTCGGGGGGATCTTAGTGCGATGTTGGAGCTACCTCGAGGCCTCAGAAGCCCACTGCCAGGAGCGAGGCACATGGAAGACGTTCAAGTTGCAGGGAAACATGGGTGTTCGAAGTATGCTGGCTTCTCTCACCGAGCGCGTTCCACTACTCGCAAAGTGTCTGCTCGCAAACGCCCGACAAAACACATGTCTGCTTCTATGTAATGTATCGTAGATCCCCCGCGGCGGATCCAGACCATTTGCGAGTAGCTACTTTGCGAGTAGTGGAAAGCGCTCGTCTAGTCTCGGGGGGCATCAGTGGGAAGCTCCGATGCCAATCGGAGACGTCTTGGGCCCGTCATGGGGTTCTTTTGAGGTGCGCACAGGTGAGACCATATTGAGCCATCTGGGGCTATCTTGTGCCATTTTGAAGGCCCTTGGACTATCTGGACCCCTCTTAGAGCCATCTTGGGCCACTACCCAGGTGAGGGGGTAGCGGGAGGTGCAACCCCTCCCCAGAGGGGGAGAAGGGGTCCGAAAAACGATCTCGCTAAACCACCTACGCATAGAGGGCTGGTGAGATTGCACTCCAGAGCCAATGACTACTTTTTCGCGCATTCATTACTTTCTGGAAGCGGTGATGAAGATGGTGCCAGTCGATAGATGTCCCTGGCGGTACGCGAGATGTTGCTACCTTCTAAGTTTTCGGTGCGTATCCCTCCTATGTGAGCGCCATGCGAGTTCCATACGTATACCACAAGAGCATGCAGACCTCTGCGCATTTCTTGAGTGACGCACTTTTCCTCGTCGCTTGCATGTTGTAGTGTGTCCTGTTGTGCTCCTTGCGCCTTTTCTGTGGGCACAGCTCCCTCATCAGTGCCCTGGTCAGGAGGGGAGACACAAACACGATTAATCGTCGACTCCCAGGAAAAGATGGGGAGATATGGGAAGTGGGACGGGGAGACGAAAGCCCAGGAAAAGGTGGGAATGTTTGCAATCCTGGGATCTGTGTGTATTTAGTTGTGTGCCCCTGGGTGCCTGTACCTTGGCCGCCCTGTGAGCTCAGCTGTGGACGTTCTTCTCCCTCCGCGAGCTGTGCCCCCTGGCAGTGTCGGTGTGTTGTTCTCCTGGTGGTGCTGCGGACTTCAGTTCGGGGAGATAGCTGGCTGCACGGCTCTTGCGCTCGCTCGGCTGACCCAGCAGGGAAATTGACAACGCAGATTGGTCAGGAATGCGTAAGACTCGAGTACGCCGGGACTCGGCTTCGCCGACGCTCTTTGACGGGCGCGTCCTGGAGTTAGACGGTCCAGTTTTCGTGGGATGTTTGCACCTGGAGCTCGCGTCAAGTTCCAGACGGGGTCTTGTCATCTTCAAGATGGCCCCGTCAGGCCAACCCGAGTCCCCCTAACCCGAGACTTACGTCTCCCCGAAATGGGTTCTGCGGAGAAAGGCTTGGTCGTCGAGGAATCGGGAAGTTGACCCTTCGCCCTCGGCGGGGGCCAGCAGAAACCAGCGGAAGTTTGAGGGGGAAGAAATTGCATGAACATATATAGATATATGTATATATATAAATATAAATATAAATGTATGCATACAGACGGCCTGGATCAGTAGGTCGACCCTGCCAGATCAAGGGTACCCTCGTGTCCTGTGTCTTGCGACCAATGCCTTCTGCATTTCTGTGGCAACGTGGCCCCCGGAAGGGTCTTGTGTCCTCTCGCGTGTCCTGTCCAATCGAGTCCGAGTGTGTGTATATATATATATATATATGTGTATATAGTTATATATATATATATATATATATATATATAATATATATATATATATATACATGTGTGTGGTCGCCCCTCCCCGGCACCCCCAAACCACCAAAACCACAAAATCTTCACTGATCGTTTGCTCCTCGTCGCTCCTCCTCTCCTCCTCCTCCTCCTCCTCCTCCTCCTCCTCCTCCTCCTCCTCCTCCTCCCCCTCCTCCACGAAACCTGCGAAAAGCAGCGAAAACCACTGGAACCACCAAAAAAAAAACTAAAAACTATGATTTCGGGAGAACCTTGCCCCCCCCCCCCTCCCCAGAAGTTCTACCGAAATCCTAGTTTTGTTTGGTGTGTGTGTGTGTGTGTGCTCGGAGTTCCGCGCAGATTTTTCGGATCCAGCGCTGGGCCCCCCCTCCCCCTGCGCGCGGAGCGCGCCAGCGGGCGGCGCCAGAGGCGCCGCCAGGGAGGCACCGGGCGCCGATCCCCGAGAGACGCGCGCGCATCGCCGAGGGCTCATGCTTGCAGTCGGCCCTGATCAGTAGGTCGACCCTGCCTCAGCTCTGACCAATAGCAGAAAGTTTGGAGGCTGATTTTTATGTTTTGATTTTCTTTCTGAGATTCGTTGATCGGCGGTTGGAGAGGGCCCGCTTTGCCCCCCCCCCCCCCCCAGATTTGGCGCGATCTCCACGTTGCGTTCAACTTGTAGCGCGCTTTTTGATCCAAAGCCATCGGCCCTGATTAGTAATGGAGGATGACGATTAATAAAAGACCGGGGGTCGTGTTCACGCGGCGGCGCCCGGGATGACGATGAGAAAAAAACCGGCCGAGGGCTGGAAGACTATTCTTTTTAATCGTTCTCCTCCAGTCAGAAAATTGTGCCGAAATAACAGAAAATTTGTTTTTTTTCATCGTTCTCTCCCATTTTTCCCCTACATAGGCTCTGCCTAGAAGGGTTCTTACTCTGTAGCTTAAAGGGGCCGGGCAGTGCAACCCGCCCCGGGCGGTTCCCCCAGTCCCCTGGGAGCCTAGCAAAAGCAACAGCAAAGGTAAGAGCAAACGCGTGGTTCCCCCAGTTGCGCCCCTTGGGTGCCAAGCAAAAGCAAAAGCAAAAGCAAAGGCACAAGTGAAGGCAAAAGCGAAGGCAAAGCAAACGCATAGCATAGCATAGCATAGCATAACGCAGCATAACATAGCGCAGCATAGCATAGCATAGTCTAGCCTAGACTAGCCCAGCATAGCATTGCGCAGCATAGCATAGCATAGCATAGCAGAGCAGAGCAGAGCAGAACATAGCATAGCATAGCGCAGCATAGCATCCACTATTGCTGCTGCTATATATGTACTTATGTATGTGTGTGTGCGCACGTATGTTCCATGCATGTTGTCCGTCTGTGCGCAGGCAAAGCAAAAGCAAAACCAGGCAACAGCAAACACAAAAGCAAAGCAAAGCAGAAGCAACAGCAAAAGCAAAAGCAAAGGCAACGGCAACAGCAAAGGCAAGAGCAAACGCAAAGGCAATGCCAAGCAAAAACAAAACCAATGCGAAAGTTTAGATGTAGATGTAGATGTAGGTGTATGTGTAGATGTGGATGTAGGTGTAGATGTAGATGTATATGTAGATGTAGGTGTAGATGTATGTGTAGATGTAGATGTGAGTCTCGCTGTCGATGCATATGTAGATGTAGATGCAGGTGTATATGTAGCTGTAGGTGTAGATGTAGATGTAGGTCTAGATGTAGATGTAGGTGTCGATGTAGATGTAGGTGTAGCTATAGATGTAGATGTAAAGAACTCCCCAGTGCCCCGCCCTCATCTCCATGCCTGCCTGCTTTTGCTGCTGTCTCGGCGACTTGCTGCCTGCTTCTGCTGCTGCTTCACTTACGGCGTGGCGTCGGCGGTTCTGGCGCTACTACTACTACTACTACTACTACTACTACTACTACTACTACTACTACTACTACTACTACTACTACTACTACTACTACTACTACTACTTACTACTACTACTACTACTACTGCTACTACTACTACTACTACTACTACTACTACTACTACTACTACTACTACTACTACTACTACTACTACTACTACTACTACTACTACTACTACTACAACTACTACTACTACTACTAGTACTACTACTACTACCGCTACTGCTACAACTACGACGATGAGGAGGAGGAGGAGGACGGCGTTTACCTCTCCTACTCATGTTGCTTTTCTAGAGGCTCCAACTCTTAGGTAGGGTCGCACTGGGATAATTTATTCATCGTCATCCCGCATTAGGTCGACCCTGCCAGATCAAGGGTACCCTTGTGTCCTGTGTCTGGCGACACGTGCCTTTTTACACTCCCATGGCGATGTGGCCTTCGGAGCGGGTCTTGTGTCCAATATACGCCGACTGTATGCAGGTCTTCCCCGGAGTGGGTAGAGCAGGTCCGCCTGCGCCGGCGGAAGGTTGGCGGACACCGACGTCGGTAGAGTTACGTCGGGCGTGCCCCTCTACAGGAGGAAAATCCCCCCAAAATAATAGTCTGGGGACGATTTGTTGAGCATTTTGTGGCCATGTTCTGGTATTTTTTGATTGGCTTCCATTTTGCGTCCAACATCCGCCTGGAGGGGGGCATGCCCGACCTAAGAGTAGAGCAGGTCCGGCTTCGCCAGCGGAAGCTCGGGGGACACCGACGTCAGCAGAGGGCAGCCCTCGGGGGAGGGGCCCTGCCGGCCCGTGCAGGTTTTCCGGAGTTGGCCAGCCAGCCCCTCGTCGGGAGCCTTGAGACGGGAGTCAATGCAAACGGGGGTCAGCCACGGCACCGGATCCTACAGGATCTTGCGAAGACCCCCTTTGGCTGACCCGGGTTAGCGAGCCGCTCGTGGCCGCGAGGCGGCCGCACATATTGGCTGACCCGGGTTTGCGAAGACCTACGTTGCAGTTGTCTTTTCCTGCATTGCAGTTTTTGGTTTCCTGCTGACCCGGGTCTGGATTGACCCGGGTCAGAAGATCCCCGACCTCGGGTTCTGTTCCAGCCCTGGCCAACCAGGGCTGGACCTGAACAGTGCTTTGGCGTCTTCGTGGGCCGTTTTCGATTCGACTTCGTTTTGCGGAAAAGGCGGATTGAAGACGCTCATTATCCCCAGAGATCCGATGTCTTGATTTTTCAATACGGGGTCCCCAGAAGTCTCGACCCACTCCCCAGGACCAGTTTTTCATCCTGAGTCGTTTTTTGACGGTCATGGGGCCCGGCGAGGGCCCCTCGAGGCCGAAAAATATGAAAAACCTCCGTCGTAATTTGATCTTTGGGTCCCACTTTTGCTCATTATCTTGTGCCTGATATTTGCAGCTTCCTTGTGGTGCCCCCGTACTGCGAGGGGCTCTCGGGGCGTCTGCTCTTGCTTCCATGCAGAGGAAGGCAGGGTGCACAATTCCGGCTCCCGGAGGACCGTCGTGACGGTGGCCGTGTCTGCGGCCATGCTGGAAGCCATGCCGGAGACATCTGGCAGCGAAAGAGCACAGCGTTACGTTGCATCTTCGGGGGACCTCGCCTGTCCCCGAAATGGGTGTCTTTTCTTGTGCCCGAGCTGGGCTCGATGCGGATTCGGCGCGGACTCGGCGTGGCTTCGACGTGGGTTCGACACGGATTCGACACGAATCCGACGAGTCCGACATGGATTCGACACGGATTCGACGCAGATAGGGCAGCGACGGGATAGACAAGGTCCCCCGAGGATGCAACATAAACAGCGACACGGCCAATTATTGAACCCGCCCGCTCAAATTGCTGCACAGTTATCCGAAGCCCCGTGCCCTTTCACGTGGGCAGCGCACGCAGCAAACGCTCCGGCGGCGTGAGCTTGGGTGCGGGCTCACGAGGGCCCCTGCTGCTTTTCATCTTTGGGGACCTCCGGGAGGCTTCTCGCCGCCGTACAGTGCGCGGCTTGAGTAAGGAACGCTTACTTTTCAAAAGGGGCTCGGTCGTTCCTTAAGGCTTGCATGCGTTACGTATCCTTCCTTATGCGTTTTTTTATTAATTTCTCGTTCCCTCTGATTTTCTCTTTGGAAAACAGGGGCTTCGTTCCTTATTTATCGTTCCTTAGGTCAGGCCGGTGACTGTAGCTGGATCCGCCTCGACGAGCGAATCAGGATGGGCCCCGCTACGGGTCCAGGCACCCATTTGGAGCGCAGTGGGGCCAGGCGGGAGAGCCGGCGCTGTCGCAACTGGCCCTCCTTTGAGTATGGGGCCCCTCCCGACCTCGAGGGCGGTGTGCACCCTGCCAGGGCCCAGGATGGCCCCGCCCGTGCACGGTGCACGCGGTGGTGTGCCAGGTGCCCTCCGCGCGCGTGCTCTCAGCTCGGCGGCGAGCGAGGGGCCTTCTCTGCAGGCGGCAGGGCTTCTCGCAAGCCCTGCCGGCCTTCTGGGAGGCTTAGCCCCTGTCCTCGTCGACGGCTCGGGAGACTTCTCGGAAGGCCAGGGCACTTCCTCCGAGCCTCCCGAGCAGGCCCGCCCCCGCTCGCTTCGCCCCTGGGCCTGGACGCGCCGCGCGTCCGCGAGGACTGGTAGAGATTGGAGATCGGAGGAGGAGGAGGAGGAGGAGGAGGAGGAGGAGGAGGAGGAGGAGGAGAGGAGGAGGAGGAGAGGGAGGAGGAGGAGGAGGAGGAGGGAGGAGGAGGAGGAGGAGAGGAGGGGGAGGAGGAGAGGAGGAGGAGGAGGAGGAGGAGGAGGAGGAGGAGGGGAGGAGGAGGAGGTAGGAGGAGGAGGAGGAGGGGGAGAGAGGAGGAGGAGGAGGAGGAGGAGGAAGGAGGAGGAGGAGGAGGGAGGAGGGAGGAGAGGAGGAGGAGGAGGAGGAGGAGGAGGAGGAGGGGGGAGGAGGAAGGAAGGAGGAGGAGGAGGAGGAGGGAGGAGGAGGAGGAGGAGGAGGAGGAGAGGAGGAGGAGGAGGATGAGGAGGGAGAGGAGGAGGAGAGGAGGAGGATAGGAGAGGAGGAGGAGGAGAGGAGGAGGAAGGAGGAGGAGGAGGAGGAGGAAGGAGGAAGGAGGAGGAGGAGGAGGAGGAGGAGGGGAACGAGAGGGTTTCCAAGCCCTTGCGCCTGGAGCCCGTGAGGCCTTATATGGGAGGCCCTCGGCGCGCCCGGGGGGCCCCAAGGTCCGACGCCGCGAACAGGAAACTGCAGCATCGCGAACGATCACGACCAGAATCCCAGACCGTCTTCGCCTCCTCCTCCTCCTCCTCCTCCTCCTCCTCCTCCTCCTCCTCCTCCTCCTCCTCCTCCTCCTCCTCTCCGTAGCCATTTTGGCTCAAGACGGAGCTTACCTCCCGTCCCGACTCCAGAGGCTCGAGGCCGAGGTGGAAGGGCAGCCCCTTCTGCAGGCCTGGCCGCCTCGACCAGCGCGCGGCCAGCAGGTGGCCATCTTTGCAAACACGGCACTGCGAGTGCTTTTCTTTCCCTTTCTCCTTCCACACGTGCTCGTGCCATGGCTTGGCGCGGCAGTGCCCCGTGGCGCAACGGACGTGGTGGTAATGCAGGATGGGGGCGTGGCAGCAACAAGAAGAAGGCTGCCAGAACCTCCAATCATGAGTATGATGTCTGTTCCGCTTGTCGCCACTGGGATTTCAAGTACCATGGCAACTGGTGCTGCTCCCGCTGTGGCGGACTGTACCTCGGTGATGCTGAGCAAGGAGATGGTGGCCAACCCGCTGGTGGTGACGCTGGAGGGAACGGACAAGGTGCGCCCGACGGAGACCCTCAACTACGTGCTGCAGCTGCGGTTCTGCTCGCTGCACGCCCCGATTTGCAGAATGTTCTCGGTGGATTGGCTCCTCCGCCTCCAGTTGCATCTGAAGAGTGGACGCCGGCACAGTATGCAGATGCCGCACGACATGAGCACACTCGACTTACGAAGGAGGTGGAGAACTTCGCCAAAGCGGTGCGCCTGGCCTCACAGGAGGTGCACCACCGTACCAACAAGGTCCAAAAGTTGGAAGAAGCGCTTCGTGAAGCACGTGATCAACATCAACAAGCAGAAGGTGAGTACCGTGATGCGGAGCAGAAGAAGCGTGATGCCGATGATACCGTTGCTCGTTTCTCTCAGGAAGCGTGGGTTCATGCCAAGCGGCAGGAGCATGCGCAGGCCGCAGCGGCGGCCGAGGCTGCCCGCGCGGCCCATGCGGCCGCCCCCGCCTCGGCCCCGCAGATGCCTGCGCAGCATGCGCCGACTGGTGAAGGTGCCGCACCCGCGGGTGGTCGCCCAGCTGCGCCTGGTGGAGCGCCACTTGCTGCTGTACCTCCACAACCACGCATGGACTTCGACATTCCTGAATTACATTCTATGGATGGTCCTCAGATTCGCGAGTATTGCCAGGTCAACAACCTTCCCTACGGATTGGTGGCACGTTTCGCGGAGATGCAGAAGCAGATCTACGACAGTGCCCAGTCCGACGCTGGAAGTGATGCTGGTTCCGAGGCTGGCGACTTCTCCCCAGAGCGTGCTGATGAATTGGCTGCGCTCAAGAAACGCTCGATGGAAGGTGCAATGGCGGACGCCGACCAGACCCGCATGGAGAACCTCATGTTCGAGAAAGCCCACACCCGCGCTGCCAAGCGCATTCGACGTGTGCAACGTGAAGTTGGTGCTGGGTTCAAGGAGCTCTTCAAGGCTGCGGTCGCGGAGATGCCGCCGCCGCTTTAGTGAGTCTGGCCTGCGCCTGCTTTTTTGTAACATAACCAGCTGGAGTGCTCTGGCTAAATCGTTCGTTTCGCAGTTGTATGGTAAGGCTGACGCCTTTATGTTCGCCGAACACCGCCAGCTCCCCGCCGATTTGAAGTCGGCTAAGCGTGATGTGGCCACCGCTGGGTGGCGCCCCCATTTCCTCCCTGCCACGCCCTCTCCTGGCGGCGGGGCCCATGGTGGTGTAGGAGCGGCGGTGCACAAAGGCCTGTTTTTCAAACGTTTCCTGGCCCATGCAGGCCAAATTCGGGACGTAGGTGCTGGTAATGGCTGGATGTTTCTGGAACTCCGAACCCAATCCTGTGCGATGGCCGTCGGCGTTGTATATATGATAGCTGACCTGGGGGTCTCGGGGGAAAACATCCTGAAGATGAAAGAAATCACAGCGTTCGTGAACACGCTTACTATTCCATGGTTTCTGATGGGGGACTACAACATAGGCCTGGATCACATGGAGGTATGTGGCTTTCTGAAGATGACTCGTGCGAAAGCGTTGCCTCCTGCAGGTGTCGCTTTCACGTGTAGCAATGGCGGTGGTTCGTTGATTGACTATGTGATTGCCAGTGATACCCTGGCTCCATACTTGCGCGTGTCCAAGTACCAGGCTTCTCCCTTTAAGACTCGCTGTTGTCTTGAGGTCCGCTTGCCGCATGCAGCCTTGCTACAGGAGATGACCAAGCGTGTGCGGCCAAAAGTCTTGCCTGAGTATGAAGGACCTGTGCTACCTTTGGAATACCACTTTAACGCTGAGCTGGCGGAGTGGACTCCACCACAAGCAGCACTACAGCCCCAGCTTCCTCATGTCCAGGCCCACCTTTCCCACGAGCTGACCTCGTCTTATCTCTTATGGTCTCGCACGAAGGAGAGGATGATGATGTCAGTTGTAGTTGGGGATGATGAGGATATGGAGGTTTATCGAGGACGGGGTGATTTTGTGGTTTTCCGACTTGCTACTCTTACTGATCATGCTCAGCGGAGTGGGTGTTTTGCCCCGCCGACGCTTACTTACTGGTCCACTGTCTCCCAGAAGTTGTATGAGATGCGCGTTGCTCTTAAGAAAGGTTATGGTTGTATGCTAAGATCCATCTCTTCTCGGCTGGGAGCACTTGGACGCCGAGTCCTACAGTATTGCGAGTGTCTACCTGCCGACCAGATTGCCCACCAGTGGCAGGTTCAGCTTTGTGATTTGGAATCGGTAGATCTGGACCGATGTCAGGACATGATAGATCGTTGCACGGCAGTCCTCTCTAAGGCTTGGCAGGCTGCCCGCGCGTCAGCAGCTAAGGCGATTAAGGACTGGCTGTTGAAGGCGCTGCTCCGAGGTGCCTCCAAAGCTCACGCCTGGCTTAGGCGTGAAGAGCAGGAGGGGTTAGAGTTTTTTGTTGCCCCTGAAGGTATTCTCCAGCTCCCACAGGAGATGATGGCTCACCGTGAAAAAATCTGGGGTGGGTTTTGGACTGCCAGCCCAATCCAGATTCGACAGTTGACTGGGGCGTTGGACGAGCTGCGTGTTTGTGCGCTGGATTTGTTGCCCGAACTTCCCGAGATCACCACTAGAGACCTCCACCTCGCTGCGAGGGTCTTCTCTGAGACCACTGCGGTTGGAGTGGACGGATGGAGACCTCGGGATTTTCTGGACTTGGAGTTTGGTGCCGCCGATGCCCTCGTCGGGCTCTTGAATGATTGTGAGGCCAATATGATGTGGCCCGCCCAAACTCTCCTTAGTATTATTTGCTTGCTTCCCAAAAGCAAGGTTGATGAGCGCCCCGTTTGCAAATGCCCCACCCTTTACCGCATCTACTGTAAAGTTCGCGGGGATTTCTTGGGGGCCTGGAGTCAAGGCCATGTTGACTTTTGGGATGACGCCATCAGGGGCAGTTCCGCCCTTCAAGCTGCGCTTCGCCGAGAGCTGTCTCACGAGGTGGCTGCCTTCCAGGAAGTCTCCAGTGTTGCGATCCACTGGGATCTCAAAAAATTCTTTGATACTGTTATCCCTGCTAGGCTTGTTCGTTTCGCCACTGCTTTGAGGTTCCCACCGCACCTCTTGTACCTGGGCCTCCTCGTGCATGTGGCCCCCAGGATGCTCGAGAGTAGCGGCTTTTGCTCCCAGATCATACCTGCTGGGATTGGCGTCCTCCCTGGATGTATGCAGTCTATGTCCTGGGTCAAGGTGTACTTATATCAGATATTGAATGATGTGCATAATCGGTATTTCTTTGGGAATCCCAGTGTGTCTACCAGGTCTTACGTTGACGACATATCCCAGGTGTGCCAGGGAGCCGAAGACCAGGTCCGACGGCAGATTGTTGCCGCAGCAGTTCAGCTAGGTCATTCGGTTAATGCAGCCGGGCTTGTTTTATCTAATAAGTCTGCGGTTGTCGCGAACCGACGACCTCTTGCACTTCTTGTCGCTACCGATTTGAAAGCAGCAGGCCTCTCAGTCAGGGTTGAAGATGTTACGCGTGATTTGGGTACGGCTACCACGGCAGGAAGGAGGAGGACTGCTGCCATCGTTCGTGCCAGGCGGCGGAAGGCCGCAGCTCGAGGCAAGAAAGTGCGCTACTTGACTACACTGGTCAAGAAATCGTCTAAGCTCTACAAACCAGGCGTGCTTGCAGTAGGCACCTGGGGCCACAATGTTGCTGGCCTCTCTGGGGCCCAAGTGCAGAGTGCGCGTGGGCAGGCCGCTGTCTGCTCTGGCCACTGGCATGCTGGAGCTTGCTCTACCACCATCCTGAGTGTCTTCGGGGCCGGGAAGAATGATCCTATTTTTCGTTTGCGGCGTGAACAGTTATCTGGTTTTGTGACGCTTTGGAAATCCCTTTGTGATAAGGAGAAGCTGCGTGTTTCCCAGGTCTGGCAGGCTCGGTTTCAGGAGTACGTCAGTATCCCCAGGAACCAAGTTTGGAAACGGGTCCGTGGGCCGATCGCCGCCACTGTTGCTGTCTTGCTTGACCTGGGCTGGTGCCCATTGTATCCAGTGCATTGGCGTGACAACTTTGGCAACGACCTCTACACTGAGGCCCTGGATTTTGCCGTGACCTTGCGACGTGCTATCAAGGCCACGTGCAGCGGCCTGGTCTGGAGCCAGGCTGCCAAGCATTACCATGGGTATGGAATCGCGTCGGGAGTTGATTTCACGGTCCTCAGACAGGAGATCACTCGATTGGGGAAAGACTCCGATTACGAGGGGCAGTCTTTGCTTTGGAACCTTTGCTCTGCTGGCTTCTGGACTGACCAGAGGTTGCATGAGGAAGGATACCACACGGTTTCTAATGGTATATGCCCGCGCTGCGGGGAGGTTTGTGAGACCCCCTTCCACAGATTTTGGGACTGCAGGAGTAACGATTCCATCCCAGATCCAGTTGCCGAGCGCACAGCTCACCTCCGCGAGCAAGCTGCTCGTGATGTTGATTGCCCTGCCCTCTGGTGTCGGGGCCTTATGCCTCTAGACAGGACGGTTGGACATCTACCGATCGCGATTGAAAGCGCCATTGGTTGGGGGTCGTTCGAGGAGTTGCCTGTCTGCCAAGGGGGCGTTTGGGGAATCGACGGATCGGGGGGGGGAGCACGCTAAGGATGAGAGACTAAGGCGTTGTGGTTGGGCCTGCGTTAGACTAGGTGCTACCCTGGACAACATCGATGGGGGCATCGCGGGGACCCTGGGAGGTGAACAGTTTAGCCCACGTGCTGAACTTCTCGCGTTGATTTATGTGTGTCAGTATACTTATGGGCGTATCTTGGTTTTCAGTGATTACTTTCCTGTTGTGCGAGCTTTCCGACGTCCACGGGCCTTGCTGGCCAACTCTGAGATGCTGGACCTCTGGGTTCGCCTTTGGGAAGTCCTCGACGCCCGAGAAGGGGATATCGACCTCCGCTGGACCAAGAGTCACCCCACAGGCCCCCAGGTCAGCGCCCTCTGTCTCACGTCGATTGAACGGCTCTTGAATGGAGCTGCCGATGCCTGTGCTGGAGAGATGGCCCGTCGAGCGGCTGTTCCCCAGGAGATGGCGGCCATCACTTTCGAGCAGGACACATTGAATAGGGATATAATTCGTAGGCTTCTTGCCATCCAGCGTGAAGTTGTGGTGCAGCACCCGCGCGAGCGTACTAAGCACGCGCGTGTTGGGCATGAGCATGTGCGCACGCGCGCTGGATCGAGCAGTGCGCAGATCAGACGTGGGCGTCTCGAGGAACAGGGCCACTCGCCTGTAGAGCTCAGGACTCTGTTCAAGTGTAGTATCTGTTCTGCTCGTTTTTGCAAGAAGGGGCCACTGTCTGTCTTTTGGCCTGGCCCCTGCAGCGCTGGGCGATTTGCCCAGTACCGCGTGCCTCGTGAGGGTGAGGAGCCTGGTTTTGTGGGCCCAGGGGCCGCGGCTTTTGGGCCCGCTGTGCATCCCATGGCCATCCATTGCCACGAGACCCATTCCTTATCTGAGTTGAATGGCGTTCTGTTCTGCACTGTGTGTGGAAGCTTTGCGGTCACAAGTGCCCGCAATTTGAAAAGCGAGTGCAGGCCTCCGACCAAGAAGGGTTTGGAGGCACTGGGCCGACTGGAGAGGGGGCTCCCGCCAAAGTCGGGAATTGACTTCCCTCGGTGATTGTGGTGGGGCGGCCAGGCTAGCACCTGGGCACCGCGCGTCCGCCATAGCGCCATAGCTCCTCCTCCTCCTCCTCCTCCTCCTCCTCCTCCTCCTCCTCCTCCTCCTCCTCCCCCTCCTCCTCCTCCTCCTCCTCCCCCTCCTCCTCCTCCTCCTCCCCCTCCTCCTCCCCCTCCTCCTCCTCCCCCTCCTATCTTTCTGCGCCAGTTTTCGAGCTAGATCGATATCTGAGGATCCCGGGGCCCGAAGCCAGGCGAGCTCGCCCGTCGCGAAAGAATTGGCGGCACCAGGATCTCAGGAGGGCGCTGGCGTGCACCTCTTGTACCGGCCGCCAGGTCG